AATTAATTCATGTCAAATATTCTTGAGAAAAGCTTTTTCAGTCCTTTCTTATACAGACACGTCCGCTTGCTATTCCTGCCCGTGCTCTTTAAATTTCCCCTTCGCTGAAAAATATAACATTATGAAATATATTTCTAGTATGATATTTTGTAAGTTTTCAAAATACAGAATGCTCAATTGAATGTACGAGTGTCCAGCATTTATGTTTATTTACGCAATGGCAAAAGCAGCTCTAGCATGGTTACACCCGATAGTTTAGAGACGCGATGCAGCTTCATTGATTGTTTTACTCGTTACCGATTAGCGAATGATTTTTTCCTTTTTCAACAAATTAGATTTGATTAACGCTCTTCTGCATTTTCATCATTCATCTTGTAAACTTTGAAATGAGTGGCATTAGTGTCGCCTTGTCACGCATTTTCCATAAATACAAATCTGCAAAAAGAAACAAGCACCAAAACGTCGTGACATATTACAAACACAATTGTTTTATTACATTTGAATGGAGCCAGGCAGATATTCGAGTTTGAAGATAGTCCTTCCTAAGAAACCTTCAGTACTGAATGAAAATTAGCAAATTATTTCGAACTGAATAAAATGTGTTATTAGAGGGGAATCCAGGAATACCCTTTTAAACTTATGAAACGAATGCAACATTGTTTGCCAAATGCTTTATTTTCAATACATTATCAGTGCATCGGTCTATCTTTTGACGCAATCTCCTTTTATGGTAAGGATTTTGTCATATAGTACAACGAGTACGTAGATTACCGCTTGAGTCTTGAACCAACATCTTCAGCATCCACTGTGCAAACTATTTGCATACTGAAGCTTGTTCGTGTAAGGAGTTCGTGAAGTAATGATTTTGAAGCTTCAGTGGCGTGTGTTGCAAAATCGAACGTTCTAAAGCACCAAAAAGCTTTTTTGCATTATCAATTTATTGGCGACCAGAGACGGCCTATACAGTTTCGCAATGCATCATGAACGCTGTTTCAGCCTTCATTAAACATTCCGGAATGTTTCCGCACTGATTCCTCGCTCATTGCTTTCAGTCTAAATTTTGCAAGTTTTCCGATGCGTTTCTCATGGTTTGCACGGTTTGACATTTTGTCGCATTCAAAACTCCTAACACATACCAGACTATTGACGTAAACAATATTACTAAATAACAACCACGGCCTTCAATATGCTACTGGTCACAAAACTTCGGCCAAAATTTGGTAGAGGTTCTAACACTGCCACTAGAGGTGCCACTGATCCAAAGAAGCCATTTTCGTTCAGCCACCTCCCTCTTAGTAAGCTACTTAAAATTCGAAATAACTAGTCGTTAAAACATTCGATTATATCTGACTTTTGTTTTAGACTGTAGTTTATAATTTTAAGCAAGCACCGATCGATCTTTATTGATCTCTAACAGAGCTTAAAAATAACCTTTTTTTTTTTTGAGCAAAATAATACTATGCAAGTGAAAAAGAGCTGCAGGCAATTGAATGTCCGAATTCGCAGCGTTTCTACTTCATGGCGCTACTCGTGGTGCTGAATTTTGACGGTAGTGGTACTGAGAATTCATTTTGAGGCAAGAGGAAGAAATGAAGAGTGATATTATTTCGTGGATTGTATCAAAAAGGGAAGTTTGATTAGTGGACTGGGTGTACAGAGCTGAAGACGCTTAAATTAACGAGAAACGCTGTTCGCGCGATGACGTCACCGCGGTAGCGTATTCAAAGTAGATTGGGCTTTTTTTTTTTTTTTTGGTTGCCAGACTTTTAGCGGGTCTGGCTAAATTGGCAGCTTTTAGCCCCCTTGTCGACGCTAGCGCCGCGCGTGGTCGCCTACTAAGCTCTCCCATAGTGTTACGGAGAAGTCTCGTGACCGTGAAGCGCAATTTTACTTTCTGTATGCGCCCCGTATAAGTAAGTCCCTATGGAGCCCAAATGTCACGTGAGTATGTCCATGAACAGGTCGGTTAATTTTATAATAACACGGAATCTGTTTTATCAGCCGATTTCCAGGGAGTTCTGTAACGTTTGTATGTCACGCTGGCTGTAACGGCCAGTTGTAGCGACCAGTTGTAACGAGAAACCGGCACCGAAAAGCGTTACGCCCATAGGGAACCATATATTGGTTTCCTATGGTTACCTATTCAATCCCTCATATAATTTGTACTCACCACCTTGACATTGTAATCCAAGCTATTCGTTTTTTTTTTTTTTTTTTTTTCTGGCGATATGCATATATGTTTACACTTTATACATATATATACGCTTGACTCACTCAAAAATTATAATTATACATGGTTAGTACCTACCGCCATACGTTTCGTAGAAGACAGTACGAAGTAAATTATTAGCAAAGTCAATAGTGAGTTTTAGAATAACGCACGCTAAAGCTTTGCGTACGCAAAGAATAGCGTTGTCGCCACTGCGCATGCGCCGAACGCTAACCACGTTTTGCGCTTTGCGTGCGCTATTTTAGCGTACGTTATTTTTCGAATATCGCGTGCGTACGCAACGAGTCTTTGCGCTTCTCCAAGGAGGATTCGCCATGAGCCACGACGAGCACAGCTAAAGAAATGGCGACTCCCTGGAGCATGGCTGCGGCCGCTTTAGCGGCGTCGTGAGCGCGACGTTGGCGGCATCTTCGCGACTGCGATTTTCAATACGGGACGACATTGCGCTCGGTTTGGAAAACCCAGTAAGGTGGGCAACGATCACCGGCAACTTGGTGCTTGCGACGCGCGAACGTTTCTCGGCGAAGGTACGGTGTGCGAAGGTCAGTCCACGAGACCTCCCTTGCCGAAGCAACGCAGGCGGACACGACAGGTCGACCACTCGCGTCGCATTCCAATGTCTAAACAAGACTAAAATGTTACTCTGGCCAAAAAAAAAAAAAAAAAAACTTTTTGTTTCTCAATTTACAGCATTTTCTGTGTCTAATAAGAATTGTGACAATCTTGGTGGCGTTGCAAGCGCGAGATGCTTGGGCTTGTGCGTAGCGGCGGAGAAACGCCATTCTAAAACTCTATTGCGTCGCGTGCGCTAACGCAAGCTCTAAATTTAGCACTAATGTGCGCTAAAATTGCGTACGTTATTCTAAAACTCCCTAATCACGTTTTACGACTGTTTATTTGTTCTGAAAAAGGAGGAGTCTATTCTGGTTTCATTTTAGAAAACTAGTTCTTTAGGATATATCGGATGACCGACTTAAATTTCTCCCCACTTCCTTCCACTCTTCATCATTAATTCTAAGCATGCGTTGCCCTACTGTAATTGCTATGTTCTTGAAATATACTCAGGAGGGTGTGGAAACTCCTCCTTCCTTGTCGACCTTCTTTTTTTTCCAGAGGTGTCAAGCCCTAATATACTGCAAGTGTGCCGAGCATGCTATCTTTGCAGTCAGAAAGTGCAAACATCAAAAACAAAGTTTCTAAACTTAAAAAAAATTCGGTTTTCTTTAGAAAACGTAAAAAAAAACTGCGTCAACGCATAATACAAAAGCATCCGCAATCGTTTCGGTTGTCCTACAAAGAACATAAATGATATAACCGATCTGGGAACAGTAATATCAGTATTTTATTTTACAATATTTTTTAGTAAGACTGTGAAATGGTTTTATCAAATCTTACTCTCAAGAGTTTTATGGTGTCTGTTACTTTTTTGTAAAAACCTTGCAGGATTGTTATATTATATGCGTCATCGGTTTGGATCCCTGGTTCGATATATCTTGTCAAAACCATCTTTTCGCAGATTCCAAGAAACGGGTCTTGGGGTTGCCGAAAGAACTTCCCTCTGGCAATTAGCTGCCGTACAAATATATGTCCTAAGCCGATCCCTCCATCTTCAACTGATCGAAATGAACTCAATCTTCGCATTGGTTCGTAAGACGATCTTTAGCTAAATGTCGCGAAACGTTTATGAAATATATTGACTGTCGCCCTGGAACGGTGCATGACCTGAAGAAGATACGCCCATTTCGTCAAAAGGAAGATGTTACATAATGCAACTCGGCCGAAAATCGGAAGGCATCTCTTGTTCCACATGCGAGCAGCTAATTAAACACTCGTTCAGACATTGCCCCACGCTGACTGGGAGTTGTCCATAACACTGAGTGGTACACCTAAAAGTTGCGACTTCCTCGTTGACCATGTGGCGTCCGCGAATTGGGATGGTGTTGTCCCCCACTTCCGCATCAGGAGTCACAACTCCTTTCTCTGTTGGCGGACGCACCAGACGAAGCACGAAACTCGGAAGTGCAGGACATTGCCCCTTGTATGCTGGGTTTGTCCGCACACACGAGCGTTACGTTATTCGCATAAACGAGGATCTTCACCTCGCAGCCATGGAGACGAAAACCACTGCAGTATACATGATGTCTCTGCAGAGGTGCTCCAAATATGTATCGAAGGAGTGGTGAGAGCGGGCATCATTTAGGAGCGTTGAACTTGAACGGCTCTTGAGAGTTCTTTGTTAACTAATAATTTCGTTGATACATCCTTGTAGTTTTACACTTTTCTCAATTTTTTGCCTATTTAGATATGTTCTAATAGTGAGAAAATGAAGTAATGTTCCACTCCATCCAAGGTTTTTGCAAGGTCGATTTGTAATATCGCACCTGTATGGGGGGTTTGCTGGCATATCTCTAGTATAGATCGCACATTATGTTGGTTTGCTTGTACGTTTATTCTTTGTAGTTTATTAGAAGATTCTCATGGAGTTATTTAACGTTTGTATGGAACAGCCCGTAGTAATGATAGGTTATAACGAAAAGCCGACACCGAAAGGTGTTACGCTCGCAGGAAACCATACAGAAGACTTAAAACACCTGACAGGATTTGAACACACCACCCTGAGATTGTGAGCAAAGTGCACGACCGACTGAGCTATCCAGTGTTGGTGCTACAGACTAGATTCACTAAATAATCTATGCTTCAGAGTAACGACACTTACCCATCTTGGTGCTTAAAATTATAATTTTACGCGTTTCTTAAGCGAACGTCGAGATCATGAAAGCAACTTTACCCCATCATCTTGGCAAGGAGTTCCATCGGGCGCTGGCGGATCAACATAAAGTTTCAGATCTCCTTCCATGTCACCACAGCAATTAACCTTGCAGGTTTCAATATCTCCAGCCAGACGTGTCTGCATTATAGTGACAAGCATTCTTCGCATTATTAGCAAGAAACTTTCACGTACCAATTTTCAATTACGTGAGTACAACAATACGCACCACGCAAGCGGGTATTTTAGTTTTACAAATGTCTGTATTCTTTGCTTTCATATAGTCAGAGGGGAATTGCTTGGGATATTCATTGGCGAATGGTGCCTCTTGGGGTGCGTCATTCCAGCATTGCTCACTTCTACGAGAAACAGACACAGAAAGAGAACTCACTTTTCCTGCAAGTATTAGCTCTACCGTGCAGTTCTTTGCAAATTGCTCTCGTCACTCACAGTGTAAGACCAAAAGGGCGTGGCTTATTACTTTCACGCGTCTTGCAATCTGATAGGCTGTAAGAAAGTGCTCGTAACTCTCGACGGTCCGCGCTCCTTAAACTTTCAGCGACTATGTCCAACAGTACGTTTCACAATAGGCATGGGAAACTTTTTTTGCGCAAAACGAAATTGCTCCAAGAGAAATAACAATGCTGTATTGGTAGCTATCAGGCGGCTTACTAGATCATATTATTTTCTCCGGCATGATAGGCAGTACAATGCAAGATTTTCCAAAAGTGGCCAATAACCGCCGAATTCAGACACCTCACTCAAACTACACTCAAACTGAAGGGCCCCTCTACTTCCTCGAGGAAGGCGCGAGGGCCGGCGCTGGCCAATCGCGAGGACGGATCCGCCGTCGCGATTGGCCAGCGCCGGCCCTCGCGCCTTCCTCGAGGAAGTGGAAGGGCCCTTCAGTTTGAGTGTAGTTTGAGTGAGGTTTCTGAATTCGACGGTAAGAGTCCAATGCAGACAATATAATGTCAGACCTGGGAATAAAAAGTGCATGTTCCAGAGTTTCAGTAGCATATGAACAGTAATCTTTTTTTTTCGGGGGGGGGGGGGGGGGGGGGGGGGCCTGAGGGGCTGATGGGTTGCGGTGGCCAGATGTCGATGATTTGGGGTGCGGAGGGGGGGGGGGGGGGAGCGGACGTCAAAATTCATGCGTATGTTTAGTGTTGGCTGGATTTTCGGAAAGGGGGGTGGGGGGTGGGGGGGGGGGGGAGTGGACTGAAGCCCATTAAGCCTCCCCCTTGGCTACGCCATGGACTGCTGAGTTTGTGCTTACTTTTATTATAATTATTGTAATACTGCCATTTATAATCTTTTCGCTGAATATGACGATTTATGCAATAAATCTGCCAATATATAAATAATACAGAGTTTTGTTTAGAGCATTTAAAAAAGGGGACAAGGGTCGAATGATTCAGCAAGTTCAGTAGATTTGAGAGTGTTCCCAACTGCTCGATTGCAGTCACGTGGTTTATGGGCCACGTTTGCAATACTGTGGTCACCAACAGCTTAAGGAACGCAAAGCGTGGCTAGTCCCAGGCATCTCAGTATCGCTCCGCAGCCAATCATATTGTGGCATTAGCCGATAAGAACACCCGTGAACGACTCACGACTAGGCAAGAAGCGTGAACAGGATATACCGCGCCCTGCATTTCTTAAGCGGTCAGTGACTATACACCTTTCCAAAAAACGTTCCTAGGCCGCCGCCATGTTGCTGATGCTGATGCGGCTGGCGCGACTCCCGCGCCCTCTATCAGCTAGAAATTTTCTGCCGCTCTCTGGGACTGTGAAGACCCGCTCAGCGCGGTTCTCTACCTACATATTAGCGGTTTTGCATTCGATGTTTTCTCGCCCCTATTGAAAGTATCCACTTAATTTTTTTTTATGCGTGCTGCGTACCCTTTCTGTGTTATCTTCCATTGTGAGAAATAAGACTGGTAAGTGCCTGCCATTCAAGCTGGTCTGCTCGACTCGACATTCACGGGAAGCGAAGGAGGTGAAGGACGTCGAACGACCCTCGACGCGATTTTGCGAACATTGTTCTCCCCTTTCCCGGAGATAATCCGCGTAGAATCCTCAGTCATCTCCAAAAATAGTTGTCCGGGTTGGGGTGAGAAATGGGTCAGTCGCGTTTGTTTCTCTGCCTTGGTGCGGTTGTCAAAAAAGGAAGCTCTCCCCAAAACGTGCCCCAAAACGAAGTCATCTCGGATTCCGTCCGATTGTCAAGATGTGACTGTCGTCGACTGTGACTGTGTTATTTGAGATCTTTCTCAGATAAAATCTTTTTGGATAACGCCGCATCGTGTGGTACGTACGATATATTGTTCGAATGTTAACACTTCCTCAATTGTATGTCCGTGTCCTGTCCATCGGTAAACACGTTTATTTGTGAGCGTGAAAAATGCATGCCTTTCGGCCCTCTTCTGTTGCAGTTTATTTTTGTCAGCAATGCGCTTTGTCGTTTCACATGCGGCGAATCCCGCGGCGCCGCCAAACTTAACATAAGAAAAAAACAAATAACTAGAATTACACATTCCAGTCGCATTCGTTCTGTCGCGCGCGTACGCAACAAAAATAGTTTACAGGTTCTTTTTGATTTTTTTGTTTTTTCTAGTGCGGCACAATACTTTCTCAATGTCCTCGGGAAAATACATGTACCATGAAACACAAAACATAGCGGGAAAAGACGAGGGTTTAGCCGCCAGCAGCGTCTGAAACTGCACTTACGCAGGCTGCGCCTATTGAAATCACAGTCCACTCGGTTATGGTTAGGAGGGACGCCGGTGAGAGTCTAGCCTCAAACTCAGTGACTGGGCTCGAAAACAGTTTGTTGCCCCTGGGGTCGAGTGTTTTTTGGAAAGGTGTATAGGTGCAAGGAGGTGGCTGAAACGTCAATTGCCTGCAAGCTTCACCGCCATGCTCCGCCTCTCCACTTGCTACATCCTCCTCGCCACGCGACCATGCGTAGATGCCCCCAATCTGGGCAGGAGCTCTCCGCCATTATATTGCAAGGGCTCTTAGTCCCATATAATATCGGACATTCTGGGACAATCTAAGTCTCACAATGTTGGACAAAGACATCGTCCGTAATGTAAAACGCCCTTAAAAATAAAAAGAAACTTGGTGGATGTATAAATTTTGCATTTAAGAATGGAAAGCGAGAACTCGAATGCCATTTACAACGAATGACATTTGTGTGATCGGCGAATCAGCTCGCAATCTGTCGCGCGTGGAATGCCCCACACCCGGAGCGTCGCGCGCTGATTGGCCGTCCGCTCAAATGTCATTCGTTGTAAATGGCATTCGAGTTGCCCGTGTGGAACGGGTATTAGTCAGTAAAATGTCTAGCTTGCAACCGAAGGCATCCCGCATACAAATTTTTTTTTCTTTTTTTTTAAGGCGAATGAATCATTTTTTAGAGTGGAATCATTTGAGACAGCGGCGACTTTTGAAGGGGCGATGCACCAATTTTTGTACTTTGGGCAAGTACCACATAAAACGGATCACTGTCGTTAATGACCTATGAAGCGCGCGTTCGTTTTTCACCCCAAGCAATAGAAGTTCCAGAAAAAATTAAAGAAAAAAAATAACAACCGCATCTCCACGTGGGGCGAAGCTCTGGTGGTGCTTGTCTGCGTAGACGCTGAGCAGCAGATTGCCGAGCCTTTCGTTCGTTTTCATCCATGTCACGCTGCGGTCAAATGCTCAAATGCGTATATAACCACGTTCCATACCACACGTTCTCTTTCTGACATGGATGAAAACGAACGAAAGGCTCGGCATGCTGCGGCTCACCGTCTACGCAGACAAGCACCACCAGAGCTTCGCCCCAATCAACAACATTCACCACGTGGAGATGCGGTTGTTTTTTTCTGTTTTTTTTTGCCCCACACGAGCACGGGAGCACGTGCTCACGTGCTCGTGAGCACGAGCACCCGACGCCGGACATCGGACGGACAGACGGACATGGCTAGCCCCTAAAGGCCCTGTCACACTGCGGAAACAGTCGGAGAACTTTGTCCTTCAACACGAGGAAAACATGTTTTCGGGGACCCTCTCACATTGCGGAAACAGCAACAGTCCGGAAACATGTTGCTGTCGTCCGAAAACTATGTTTCCCAACTTGTTCTCCGACACTCGGGGAACATCCTGTCACACCGAGAAAGCGTGTTGGAAGAACACAAATTGCCTCCTCTCCTGCGCGCTGCCTCCCTCTCTCTCTCACCCTCGTCTGCCCGGCCGGCTCGGCTGAGCTACAAGCGCGAGCTCCGGGCTTTCAGCATCCCTGCCAAGCACGCGCGCTCGTGCAGTGCAAGCACTGTTCTGGGCCAGATGCGCGCGCTTGTAGCATCGGCTGCGTCTGGACCGAAGCTGAAACGAAGTATAGGAGGTATTCACTGGACGCCATATTTGAGGGCGATGTTTAGAGCGCATGCTCAGAACGAGCTCACATTAATAGCCTGCTAAGACCGGCAACCATGATGGTGCTAAATGCACGTTCCAAAAAGACTGCGGAAGCTCGCCGTCAGCACGCGCACAGCAGCAGCGCACACGGATATGGCCGCCAGTGAATACTCCCTATAGGCGGCTAGGCTCAGATCCGCTGGCTCCGCTCGCCCCTTGAATCGTTGCCATTTTGGATCGCCGTCTCATCGCCGTCGCTCTACCGTAGTCGATTCATCAGCCGCGCGAACCATCTCGTGTTCTCTGGATTTGGCGGTTGCGTTCTGCTACAGGGCTAGACCCTTGCACGATGGCATACGCGCCCGCCACAGCAGCAGCTTCTGCTTTGGTGCTTCTTTGTGCCATCGATTCAGATGATTCTGACGATCAGCTGCCGCCTCGCAAGAAGCCGCGTTCAAAATGGCCCTTCACGCTTGACGTCAATTATTGAGGTATTCTGGTGCGACTATCTCTACTGCAAAAATATAGATGTTGCAGTGTTGCTGGAAAAAAATTCGCTCAGCCACCGAAATGGGCAACACGTGTCGTCCGACACAAGTTGGCGAGGTTTCCGTTGCCAAAAGCTGTCACACCGAGACAACATTGTCGCTGTCGTCCATGTTGTGTTGCTGTTTCCTCAATGTGACAGGGTTGTCGGGCAACAAAGCCGACAGCCGACATGTTTCCCGACTGTTGAGAAACATGTTTTATTCATGTTTCCGCCGTGTTTCCTCAATGTGACAGGGCCTTAAGGAGCTTCGCCCCTAAAACGAGCACCGTTCACCCCCTCAACTCACAGCCAGAACAAGCGGCCACGTGATCTGGAGCCTATTATATGCCCCCAATGTTGATCATAGACACGCGCTGGGGTCGGCAAAGCACAGGACACGCGCTGAGTTCCAGACATTGTTAT